TGGGAATCATGACAACTACTATGGCAGACGACTTCGGACTAGGTGCGTTCTACATGGTCTCCCTGAAAGCGAGTAGAGCTGATGTTTCTATGCAATTTCACACAGCCTTGCTTGCCAAAAGTTCTTCTCCTCCCGGCTTGAGTTGACTGCAGTTTCGACCTCGCCTCAGTCTTATCGAACCCCGAGCGGAAGTCGAACCATGACAGTTCAGCGTGTTAGCTCGACACGTTAATCACTCAGTCATACTGGCACGAGTGCAGAGGTGCATTTCAAGGAAGGCATATCACTTTCGTTGGTTGGATTGTCGATGAAGCAGACGTATTTTTGCTAAAGCAATCGACTACACTACTCATTTTTCGTAAATAAGTATAGGTTCGAGACTACCAGTAAATCAGTTCTATGAGAGCTATTCACCCTGATTATTTTGACGTCAGCTCTACTCATATCACCGTGGGATAATTCTACTATCAGTTCTTCATTATCTTAAACGAAAAAGAGTAAATACTTGTTTTGCTTACTTCCATTTCGAGTGAAAGTGTTGGGTGACGAGATTCGAAAGTCGGTTCCACCAGAAGACGACGGCGAAATCCTCTTGACCAGCTGTCGATTGGCTTTACCGGAAGATTCATGCTGACGCTTTTTCTGAGGCAATCTTCTTCGATTCCGATGAAAAGGTAACGAACATCGTCAGAGCGAGGTAACATAGTCGCAACATAATTGAAGCTAACGAGTCAAGAAAACTAACCGGCAAATCCCTAAAAAGTGGTATATTTACTCTACATCTCGCCTCTTTGATCAAGTGTAAAGTGGTTTGGTTAGTAAAGGTCACATGTCAACTTCGATGCCTGTGAGTGTGTCTGTCTCTATATTTGTATGTGACTGTTTGTGTTCGCTTATGCACGAAACCCGAACTGATGGCTCAGCGTAATTAGGACAGCAAAAAGGAACGTCTGTTTTTGGTCATCAAGTTTTGCTGACTCAAATCTCCCACTTTCTACATTTAAGTTATAACCATCACTCCGACACTCGTCTGGTTTTGTTGAGGAGCCCAACCCTTTCACTCGTAATGTAAGTAAGCTCAACATTTATGAAACAAGAGATTCCTCGAAACCCAACTTTTCTTAGCATAAAATAAATATATCTCATATTCCCAATTCTTGCTGCTGAGCTGTCTATGATGGAGGAAGTGAAATCAGTTTACTCGGCATGACGATCAGTAAGAGGGTCTGACTAGTTGGTACCAGTCAAATGTTCGCGTGTCAACGTTAAGATAGCTGTTGAAACGAGTTTGAACATTCACATAGTCATTGGGCACCCGATGGTTCTTTGCTCAACCACAATGCCAAAGCGCAAGAGGAGATTTAAGTCATCTCCCAGCTTATATCACCATCCCAACTTGGGTACTAACCTAAAACAAACAACGGTCGGCAGGGCCTTATTTTTGTCATAAGCAGATTTCGAGATTATCAATAATTGTTGAATGGGAGTTTAATCAGCCCAACTCACTTAAAGTGATTTAAGGACTGATAGTTGAGTTTTCCCACAATCAGATGAGTAGGCCTGAGGGCTCCGTTTAATTTTATTTAACCTTGCCTCCCAAAAATGAGTGTACCACAATTTCAGTCTCGTCCAGGCCTCATCAGCATCCCCAACGCAACTCGACATCTGGCCGTGACTATCTGGGAGTTGCATTCTGGGAAAATTCTTTTATCGGTCCTTAGTCATCTCAAGTAATCTGGACGGGGTAATTTCTTTGTTTAACGGACCAATAATTTTGAAAAACCATTTTTATTATTTGATAAATGAAAAAAAGGCCTTTACATTAATGGCATTTTTTGGATCCACTGTAAAATACATTAATGGCTTGCTTATTTGCGAAAAAAATGTGTTTCGTGAGGCTGGTAGAAGAGAAGCGTTGACGACAAGCACTCTTTTACGTTATCTGTTTCTTGCAAAATATATTCTCTTAAATTGATGGTGCAAATTGATACATTTTTTTACCCATTACTCTCTGACACTGTGCATTTTCTTGTACAGGAGCACAATACGTATCATCACACATTAGAAGCCCTGGAAATTGAGATCAAACGGACAAAGTTGAAGCTTGAAGAGTTGATCTCGGTCTATAAAGACGCTCTCATGATTCAAGAGGAAACAAACTCTGAACTACAACGCCACGAGGAACTCGTCTATGCCCACCGAAAGCGTCGGGAATTAGAGATTACGAATCTACGCCGACTTTTTGAATCAAAGAGAAACCGAGTGTCTGCGCAGAAGGCGCTGCTTGTAAGTGCACAGCAACCATATCCAGAGCTCAAGTTCAAAATTTCATAAAGCTCTAGACCATAAATATGGATATATCTACTTTATAGTATCATCCATTTTTGTTCTACTCGACTGTCAGTATGCAATACTACTGTCAGTCGTTTCAGTAGTAGCTTTCGTTTGAAGTATTACTTAACAAGCGTCAGAAGCAATTGAAATTCAGAGAGTAGGACATCTGCCCGGGACACATTTATCCGTAATTTAAGCTAGTTAATTTGGCAAACATGGTTTATCATCTCTCCTCTATTTACAAATCAATCTCTCCTTTGGAATTCATGGCCACACTTAACTATTGTCCTTCATGATTCTGAAGCATCTCATTGATGGCTCTGAGGTCTCTTTCTGCTTGGATCTAGAATAGAATTTGCTGAATCGCCAAAATGGTGCCATACAGACAAAGCCAACTTTACTGTACCATCGATTCTTCGTATTGTCTGTTTTTGTATCAGAATTGTATCATTTTAGTGTCTGCTCGTCTTTTAAATTGACTTTGATCCCTTAATGTGTCTCCTCTTCCTACTTATTTGCGAGAGTTGAGGATAAATTGTCAAAATGGGACGGTTCAAATCCAGTATTTTGTTTGTGCCTGTTATTTCTCCTATAGGGCTTACAGAACATTTTGACCCTTTTGTATTACATATCTGAAGGTACCCATTATTGGTCGCTTTTACTTCTTGTCTTTATTCACTTTTAGCCTAGCGCGTGCAAACACCTAAAGGATGTCTAATCACCTCAGCTTCAAAGTGAGTTGGGTCAATTATATCTGATCCACCGTCAAGTGATCCCAAAAACCGCCCAAATAGCATGGTTTAAGGACTAACCCAATTGAGCTACAAAGTTAGCCTACTTCTTTTATCACGTATAAGACATTTTCTTTGAAGCCAAGCGGATCTTGGAGGGCCCCTGCTCGAAATGTCGTGAATTTGGACTCCGCATGTAGTCCCGACGTTTAGGCAGTCCATTGTGTAGAAGATATAGACTCTGTACGGATTGACTTATTCAGTTCAAGGAAAATTGTATGTTGTCAGAGTCAAGGTGATCGATGCGTACTGAGTTAGACAAATTTTGTAGATTTGACTTATCACATGAAGAGAACATTCAACTGTCACTTCAAAGTTTGCGTTTCCGTTCATCTCAGATTGCAGATTTTATCTTGAATGGGTTTTATGTGAAAATTCAGGATTCTTTTGTGGCTTAATTCCTCTATGAATGTGCTGTTTAACAAACAATCGGACTCTCGACCCGCTTTTCCCAAGTTAGAATCTCGTCGGGTGGGTTAGAGAGATTGAGAGGATAGGTGAAAAATGCAGTTCAGAATGACATTAAACGGACGTCAGGAATACATTGCGATGTACACCCCAGTAGATAAATCAAGCTTCCTCCACGTGTGAGTGATGGCGGAGAACTATCGGTCAAATGTAGACGCTCTATAAAAATGAGTCTTCTCATTTTTGCGAAGAAATACCATGACACTAGCTAAATTTAAATAAAAGAATAGCAGATATATTTGGTTATTTGGGGCAGATATTTTTCGGACAAAATCAAATAATTTTCAAAATAAAATCCCCAATAAATTGTCTGAAAGACCCTTTTAATGAATGATATGCGATAAATTTTTGTCTTTTATGTATTTCCAAATTAAATGTAAACTTTTTTCCTATCCATTATTTCTTTCAGATTGAACAGGAATTCACGAAACTTGATGTAAGTCAGTATGCTGTTACATGAAAATATTACCCTTATTTGCATTACTTGGCGTAGAGGCAAACCAATTTGGTAAAAATACTGGTCCGTTAAGTAAATGTCTTGCTGAATAATGTATCATGGAGGATGCTGATAGCAGAGCTTATTCATCATGTAGACTGAATTAGAAAAGCGTACCTGGAGGTGAGTCAATCGGAACGGATACTAATTCGGCCGGATAGTTAAACTCGTAAAAACGTGAGGTTAACCGATCGAAACGACCCAAACGATAATGCATTAACATTAATTTTGAACCAAAAATACGGATACCCTTCATGTATATCTTTCAATTGAATATGCGATTGATAATTGATGCAAAAATAAGCAAATTCTGTTCTCCAAAATTCATTTTTAAGTCTTTATTTTATACTGATTCTACATAGTTTCATTAATTGCCTATGTTGCTTTAATCCTCTTCCGTAAGGTGTGTAGAAGATTTCATTCTCCACGGCTCAGCAATGTATACGAAATTGCGATGTGGCCATTTTATGGTTTTCAGACACTCAATTTGGAGGCTTAAAACCCTAAA